ATAGTATAGTATGACGTCAAAATTACATAAAAAATGTCATAGTATAGTATGACGTCAAAATGTCATGAAAAATGTCATAGTATAGTATGACGTCAGAATTCAGAACTCCTGAAAATTGCTTGAAGACTTTCGGATACTTTTTAATTTTGTCTTAATGAATTCATCAGTGTTTGATTTTTGACACTATGCAGACTTTAAATGTACCTCTCTCTTCTTGTGGTTTTTGTGTGATCAGTCATAATCACACACTTTCTTCATCAAAGGCCACTCTTTCCCTCTCGGCAAATTCACTTTTTGATTTGTAAAACCCATCTTGAAGAGCAGAGAGAACAAAATCCTTTCTTTTTTCTCTCCTTACCAATCAGGCCTGTTAGATCAAGAGAATTATAAATTGTTATTACAAAGGAGGAGCCCCCTTCAGACGTGTTCTTCAATGAGGCATCAAAGCCACCCTGTTTAAGATCATGGAGGCTCCACCACTCATTAAAGCCAACAGAATGGTCCCAGTGCTGCAGCACGCTGCCCATCTTCTTTGAGCGCATGATACTTAATCATTCAAATGCTTTTGATTCAAGAGGAGAATAATTGACCCTTGCTCTTACACTGAGCCGACTATGTTCCACAGTGAGCTCTGTTTAGGTCGTTCAGCAGGTAAAAAGTCACCTTTAAGTCTGGATGTAGTTAAGAGTTAACGTACAGGTACGTTTGACTGTTGCTTTACCTGCATTACATCATGGGGCAGGTTTAATGCTGTATGAAATCTAAACTGAGTTCATGGAAAGGTTTCTTCTTCAAATCATAAATATAAATTTGATTTTTGCAGTAGTTTGTTTTAATTTAAGGTGTCTTTTCTTTCAAATATTTTCCCCAACAAGACAAGAAAAGTTGTATTCAACACACACGGTCACACTGTAAGTAACATATTGTCTGGTTCGTCTTTGCTGGGAAACAAGACTAAAAGGAGACTTACTATGTTAGCATGGTAATATTTTCTAATCATCAATATACACAAAATACAGCCAAGACTGACGGCAATCATTTTATAAGTATTTAATCACAAACCAAAGTAAAGATGGCGTCAGATGAAAAGTCAGGGGGATCAACAAAGTTCATCCTGCAGGAAACACCAACGTCTGTACTGAATGTTATGGAAATCTGCTCCCTAGCTGTTGAGACATTTTCATGGTGATGGTGAGGGAAGAGCCAGTAAGACTCATCCTCTGGAGTCCGTAAATGTCTACAAAAAATGATGATGATGAAAAAAAATGATGTCCAGAGACCGAACAGGCTGTAAACATGTTACTTTCTATATGATAACATGGAGGTCTGTGGGGCCGCACCCTAGTGGATGTTAGAGGAACTACAGGTCTTAGATTCATGGTTCAGCCTCAGAGGGTCCTGCTTGGTGGAGCTGAAATGACGGCATGCAATAAGGTGATCCAGTTAATATTTCCAACAGCATGTATGGACATTCTTAGAGAATAAAGACAACTGGGTAACTCGAAATGAATCTGAATGGAGATGTAACATCAGCACAGCTTTAATTTGCTTTCAGATACAAATTAAAAAGGTGGTCGGACTTTGTACAGTACAAGGATGTGAACTGTATGTTTTAATTAGGGTTTTCAACATTCTGATGGATCCAGATTTTGAACAATATCCTGTGCATTAGCTGGTGTGATGTATAAGCTTTCCTTGACTACATGGTTGGACCGTTTCAATGAAAACTGATGACAATTGCAAATTGGGAGGTCTTATTAGAATTCCAGGGGTCAGCAGCCTTGAGAGGCCTTCAACAATAACTACAAAACTAAATGTAATATGTGAATAAAAGGAAATCATACAAAAAAAAAACCCTTTAAAAGGAGTTGCTTTGGCTGCGTTTGTGTTTCAGTGTCTTTGAAACATTGCATAAAGGCCTATACTTCTTTTTTTTTAATGCAATTAGTCCTGAAAGAAAAAATCTACAGCACTTTTTGGATGGGCAATGGACAAAAGGCCAATTTTTCCTTTTTGAGGCAAAGTCCTTGGGTCTTTTTAAGTGCATTAGTCCGCTAATTAAATATTATATGTTTAACGAAAAATGCAGTTTGAAAGCAGCTGGATTGTTTGACTCAAAGACACGGCTGCAGCCTTGATGAGTGGAACTGTGCGCGACCATGAGGAGGTAAAGAACATCATTGTTGCCCGTCCTCCCCTCGTTTTACCCGCCATAATCCTTTCTACTGATTTTACAATCACATTCTCTTTTGTGCTTCCTCACAGATACAGACGCTGAGGCAGTGATGCAGAGGAGGGGACTCACTGACACATCCGAGCATGCTGCTTCCATTTTGCACAGTCTGACATGTTTGTTTCATTGACGACATGCCAATGTGTTGTTCGCTGTTCAACATGGTGTGAAACACTGCAGGCTAACAGTTTGTTCTCGGCAGCCTCGGGTTAAAACAACAGCAAGTGTGCGACGTCAGTCCGAACACGTTAAGTTTCAAACTCAATAGCATCAAAGCAGCAACATTTCAGCATATACACCATGTCACAACATGTTTAATCTCTCTGCAGGTCTGCAACAGTTTAACTTATCAATATTTAACAATGCATTGTATGTAAATCTTCTTCACCTGCTTTGGCTTGTTGATAGAAGCTCCTCTCTGTGTGAAATATCTGATGTCTCCCACACGCCAATTTCTGTGGATTGCATTTATCGGCAAGATGTTTTGGAGCAAACACAGTGATGCGCTATGATGATGATGTGCGATTATGATGCAAAATCACCAGGTCAAGTCAAACTTCACTTTTAAAGCACATTTAAAAACAAAGGCAGTCGACCAGAACGCTGACACACACTCAAAACACCAACACAAAAGCCAAAAACAACAAAACAATAAACAGGTGTCAGCTGCCGTCACTAAAGTCAAGAACAAATGTCCATTTTCAATTCTGAAGTCAAACAGGACGAGACGTCCCAGAAGTGTTTTGGGTATTTATTGATTGACAGCAGTGCAGATGGGGAACTCCTGAACCACTGATGAGAGAACAGCGACTGAACGCTGGCTCCTGTGGTGACATTGTTCAGATTTACTCTCAGACTTGTTTTCCTGCTCCTGGCAGCTAAAGAATGATTAAAGGCCTCAGGATCATGTTTGGGCAACTCAAAGTACTTGGTGAAGGTTCTGGAAATATTGTGGTAATGGCAAACACATCACAGGGGGAGGCGACCGAAGCACTTGGTTAAGTTGTGAGAAAGGTTGTGGTCTTGGTTAAATTCTGAAAAAGTCAGCGCTGATTTGAAGGATTAGAGAGTGGAACTAATGAGCATTGTACGCTCTGCCCTTCACCCTCCATCATCTCCACCAACACTCACTGCAGGGGTACAGCGTCTCTGCATCAGAGCAACATGTCGCCAGTAAACGTAACACAGAAGGAAAACACTGCAGGTTGTGTCAGTGATTCAGCTGCACCTCTGTGCCCTGCACATAAGAATACACACACCTATTGATCCAAGGTTCAGGATCACACACATGAACCACATTAGAAACAACTTTGAAACACCTTCAAACACCAAAGAAGAAGAAAAAGAAGAAGTTTTTGATCTTAAAACGTCCTACAGCCTCAGATCACACAGAAAGAAGGTAAATTTGACATGTGTGGAAACCTTTAATCACACGGCTTATTTCTGTCTCTGATATTGTTTTATTTGTGATTTATAATCAAAGAAAAACACTCATTTCTTACATTTCATGATCAGACAGATAAATGTTTGAGATGAAGAAGACTTGGCTGACTGACGGGTCACATTCTGACCTCTGGTTTTGGAGAGGAGACAAAATATACCCACTCATGGTTACCAAAATCAAATATCAATAGCATCAGAAAACACAGAGTCTGCTCCCTGAAACATAACTTGGCGTTGGAGAACAAGTTGTTTTGGATGCCAACATGTCTCTCCTGCTGTCAGTTCTCAGACGGTCACTGACTGGAGACTCTTTGATTTCACCTGGTGCCTTCACACACTGCATAGTTACACCTCACACCCCTTCTGATTCTATGATGTCATCACGCTGTATCAAATCACACACTGGAGCCACATGATGCCGCCGTCGTTTGGTTCTGTGTAATAATACAAAGGAGGCACAAAGAAGGGACTTCTCAGCAGCTCTATAGCGCCATCTCTGTGTGAAAAGGTTTTATAGTTGTCGGCTATAAGTTATGAATAATAAATATATTGCTTAAACATATTCATGTATGTATTTGATGTAGGAGAGCCAAAGGAAACTTGTCATTAACAGAAACCAGTTGCAGCTCATTGAATTCATGTGTGAGTTTAATTTGGAATAAAATCATTAATAACAGTGTTTTAGTTCAGTAGCACCAGCTCATCAAACCCACCTGTTATTAATTCAATAAGCTGCTGCAGAGTTTGTTCTGTTAACGTCAGGTAACAGCACTTTGAGTCAGTCACTGAGCACAGATGATTTTTACAGTGAATATTTCTAACAAATGTCTGATGCTGAGTATTTCACTATAGCTGCTACAATACAGACTGATTTGTGATATGATTCATATATTAACTGCACAGAGCTCATTCAGAATCAGATACTGTTTTAAACACTTAAATAAGTCAACAAAAATTGAGATTTAGTGTGAGAACATCCTGTCAGGTTTTACAACAATAGTGTAGAGGACAGAGAGCCAGTTAAAATAATGCACCGCTGGGTCCAGTAAATAAGTTGAACTAGAAAGTTGTTTTCCATCAGAGCTGCGGTGCACACTGAATAAGCATGCAAATAAGCCTCTTATGGGTTTTATGATCAGGCTCAGTTTTTGTGGCTTCATGCGACTCGGCTAAATGTGGGAACAATTAATGTGTTTCTGGCACCAGCTTTGGCTCAATTTGCCAAAAAGGCTTATCGGCATACTGACTGTGGTCAAACAAATATTCTAAAAATCACAGAGATAGCAAAACATATTATCTCACACTACAGCCTGCAATAACACACAGGGGGAGAACATGTATACACTCGGTCTGTGCCTTTGTTTCCACTGTACAGGAGTATTATATGATGTTTGCCACATCTTCTTGGTCTCACAGAGCAGTGATGCAGCGTCTGATTTAAAAAATGCCGGTCCTTGGTCCTCTGTTTCTAGATTATAGTCAATCCAAAATATTCCTCTTTCTTCTCAAAGTAGAAGTTGAGTCGTGCCGTAGCGTATCTGCAGGAGGAGAGAAGAGAAAATAAACCATAAGATTTCTCTCCAAAGCTTTTAGTCAGAATACACCAGCCTCTGTCCTTGGATGTTTATGGTGCAGATCACAATGTAATGGAGTCAAATGTTAAACCAGGACTTCAGACACCAGTGAATGACACAAAGGCAGAGCTGTGTCCATTCTGAGATTCATACAGCTCCTGTAATTCATTTCACGAAGAACATCAATGGAAGCATTAACTGAACTCCACCATTTAACTTCACCAGCTTCGAACTAAAGAAATGGAATTTAACCAAAAGAGTTTAAATCCAATCATTCTGTAACCTTTCCTCTTCTCTTGTGTCAGATTTGGTTTTCAGCTCTTTGCAGTCAGTCAGTTCAGAATAAACTTTCTCTGTGAATAAAAACTCAAATCAAAAAGAGGATCATGGATGGATGGATGGATGATGGATGGATGAATGGATGGATGGATGGATGATGGATGGATGGATGGATGGATGGATGATGGATGGATGGATGATGGATGGATGGATGGATGGATGGATGGATGGATGGATGGATGATGGATGGATGGATGATGGATGGATGGATGGATGGATGGATGGATGGATGGATGATGGATGGATGGATGATGGTAAATGTCCCCAGTCTCACCTCTCTTAATGTGGAGTCTGACAGCAGCTCCTCTGTGATCTCTGCTATGTTCATATGTTACAGAATCTCACTGCAGCAAATATCCAAAGTAAAAACTGTAGTTATAAACCTGACAGAGGAACCTGAAGCAAACTTTTAGCTTCTTAAATAATTAATAAAGTGTTGCTGATCTGTCTCTCTGAAGCTCTGCTCTGATCTCTGCTACATTCACATTTTACAAAATCTCACTGCAGCAAATATCCAAATAAACTTGACAGAGGCAACAGAACTTCACTTTTAGCTTCCGAAATGATCAGTGATGTTATGCTGCTCCTCGTGTGTAATGGAGACGGCATCTCTCTGCAGCTCTGCTCTGATCTCTGCTATGTTCACAATTTACAGAATGTCATCCACATTTTCCTCATTAATGATGTACTATTTCATTTACACACCCCTGTGTGTTTCATGAGCAGAGTGTGCGCACATTGTGAACCCACCTCTGTAGGCACACTGTACTGTCTGGATAATATAACCTTAAAACAGCAGGAAAATATGACACCATTCTGACTTCAGACTAGGTTTCTGCTCTATTAACACAGAAATGCATCAACAATACACCTGACCACACCTCATTTACACCTACATACCAATGGGCGCACAGACGTGGGTGCTGGCTGTGACAATGAAAACTGTGTTGGACTGAAACCGGCAATGACAGGCTGTGCTGCACTGTGCGCCGCATTGCGCCAGCTGTGTGATTTTCTCCATGATAATAATTCATTTGAGGAATTTCAGTCAGGATTTAGAGTGCATCATAGCACTGAGACAGCACTAGTTAAAATTACAAATGACCTTCTGATTGCTTCAGACAAAGGACTCGTCTCTGTACTTGTTTTATTAGATCTTAGTGCGGCATTTGACACAATTGACCATCAAATTCTACTGCAGAGACTGGATCACTTAATTGGCCTAAAAGATTCTGCACTAAGCTGGTTTAAATCAATCAATTTCAATCAATCAATCAATTTTATTTATAAAGCCCAATATCACAAATCACAATTTGCCTCACAGGGCTTTACAGCATACGACATCCCTCTGTCCTTATGACCCTCACAGCTGATCAGGAAAAACTCCCCAAAAAAACCCTTTAACGGGGAAAAAAAACCAGTAGAAACCTCAGGAAGAGCAACTGAGGAGGGATCCCTCTTCCAGGACGGACAGACGTGCAATAGATGTCGTACAGAACAGATCA